GTTGCATTCTGTGAACGTTAGTTGACAACTGACGGTTAAAAGGAGGGGAGCACGCGCTAGCTATGCGGAATTGAAAACTCCCGTTAAACACTTCCTAACTGACACCACCTCAAAACGACCACTAACGGAAACATTAACCGACACTAATGTGGTTTTCCACGGCAGGGTGAGTTACCCCGACACACACACACACACACCGAAGTTCACCCCTCTTTTCACCTCCTCTTCCCTCTCTCACTCTCTCTCCATCTTCTCCTCCTTCCCTTACCGAGCAGCAGCAGCTTGACCTCCCTGGCTGCCTTCTCCCCGTCGTCCCGCAGATTCCTGTCGATCATTTTGCTGCGCTCCACCGCCGCCTTGTCCTCCGTGCTCAGTGTGCATCCCATCCTCGACTGTGTGTCCTTCAGACCCCCAGACGGTGTGTGTACCAAAAACAAAAACCTAAAACACCATATATACCCACATTAAATGGTAAAAAACTGCCTTCACTCCGCACACACGCCCTTTTTTTTTTTTTTAAATGACAGGCAATTGATCTGTACGGGAGGGGGGGGAAGGGGAAGCGAATCGACTTTTAAAAAAAAAAAATAGTGTTTCTTCTGAAATATTTTCGGTTTCAAAAATCCTCCTTGCTTTCGGGGGGAAAGCTATGTTGATAGCGAAACAATTCCTTGATGTTGTGTCTCCTTCCCGTTAGCCTCCATTCGTTGCGGCGGCGACTACCAGTGTTGAATGTAGAGCTTCGACTGGAGAGCAGCGCGGTTTGTTCCGCAAGCAATAACAATCACACATCCGGTCTGGTTCTTCACAATAAAGGTGTTCATTTCACTTTTTTTTTTTTTTTTTTTTTAATGTTCTATTATTATTTTTTTTATGTACACACTTTTTATGTGTCCAGTTGTCTTTTTTTTATTATTTATTTATTTATTTATTTATTTATTTATTTATATATATTTTTTGTTGTGTTTTATCTTGTGTGATATAAGTCATTTCCATACGCCTAATAAAAAAAGGACTAATCTTTGCAAATATTCTCTGCAATATTTTCTATACTGTGCTAAAAGCCCATTTCTACTCTAAAACACATTAAATCCTTGGACTAATACTGTACACTGCAGTGTATACGCCATGCAGGAAATCTTTGTTAATGCACAAAATACCAGACTAGCAGCACACTAATCACATATAAGTGGTTGGAAAACACAAAATCACAGCAGGTCTATGGTACCAATGTGATATATTAATACCAAAATTAACTTAGAAAAGTGGTGTTCCTGGTTTTATTCTGGCAGAGAACCTTTGTTGCATGTCATTCTCCCTTTATTTTCATTATTTATGAACTTTGAGACCAAAATGTACACTGTAATTAATTTCTTTAACTATAACGCTGTATAAAAATGTAAAAATCCTTTATTTCAGTCTCATTAACTATCAAATATAAAGGAACACTGTACTGGGGACAAAAATGTAAACTACAGCTGACTGTGGCAGTCAAATGTTTGGCTACTGCAGTTATTATTACATAACACATGTACACATTAAATATATGTACAATCAAGGACGAATCATTACAGTCATTTTATTGGATGCTTTTTAGTCTATTATGTGCAGTCCTTACAGGAAAAAAAGAGGGCACATATTCTTGTTTTTTCATCAGTTTTCATGAAGCTGAGATTTCACCTGGTGTGTGTGTGACGATTAAATACCAAACCTCACAATTTATTTTTCTGACGCTTTTATTTTGAAGGTAGACGCCCAAACGGAAGCTACTTGACAGCGGAACGCATGTCAGACCCGCACACCCATAACTTCACTCACTGCTACCCAAATAAAAACCCATTATTTTCACATTATGGACCATATATATAATGTGACTTTTATTTTAATATACAATAAACTTATTTATTTACCTTGTGAGTCTCACTAACAGGATCTTTTTTTTTATATATATATAAAACTGCTATATTAAAATATATTATGTATATTCCCACTATTACATACAATACTTCTTCAATCATGTTACATTACCTGTTCAAGCTATAACTGTGTTGCCTACATTTCTAGAATGTATCGTCCCCATGGGAACCAAACCTCTAACCATGGCTGTCCCCTCCCCTACCCATTCAACTGTACATGACCATTGTTTGTGGTTTAAATAATTTAGCCTGTCGGACAAAGTCAAGTGTGAGTAGTCAACAGTCAGTGTAAAGGTTGGTGGTGTTCACTTCACACAGACCTTCCACACAAGCCCCCACGGTGTAAACATCTCCGCCTTTCCATCTCATTTTCATTTCAAATGTGGCTTTTTGGGAGAACATGCAAATTTGTGGTGTTGACATTTCCATTCTAATCCAGTGATGGCTGGAGGTTTCCCTCTTTGTCACCCAGGCCCTCTCCAGGTTTGAGATTACAAGCGCCAGAGGATGCATCCCGTAGGCAAAAAAAGGTTATGTCACTTTATCTCACACAGAAAATACCACAGACATGGAGTTCTTTGAAAGGGACAGTGTTCCCAATGACAGATGTATGTCTATATATACTCCTGCTTATATTAGGCATTATAAAATCCCTTTTTACTTTCATTTGTCTACATTATTTGTTATGTGAGGCTATCTATGTGTCCAACTGTACACATTATGCAAAAGAAAACTTGATTTGATGATAAACTGTGCACATGGTGATGAATTAGGAAAAACTGGCTTGTTAAACGCACACTTATAACTTATTATATGTTTTAAAACCCAGAATACAAACAACAATACAACATTATTGACATTATTAACATTTTAAAACCCTAAATTAATCATTAGATGAATAGAAACTGATTATTTGTGTGTCCAAAGAAGTCGGGACAGCAGCGATATCTGGTAGGAATCGGATATTTCTGCAGTTTATCCTCTGTTGCTTGCTGTTTTATTGCATTGCAATCTCTACAAGAAGTGCATTGTCAGACTCGAAATATGTCAATCTTTTTAAACAAATAGAACAGATTGACATAAATATTATCAATGACATGTTTTCAATAACAATATAAGCAACTGGCAGAGAAACACAAAGTCTATAGACCTAGTGTTGACCCACACATCCTGAAATCCAATCCGTCAACAATAAAGTCAGGTGAGATTCAAACTGTTGTAACAAGAAAGTTTGTTTAAATAGATGGAGACAGGTCTTTGGCAGAGAGACAGGGAGGGATGGACCAGGCAGGCCTTCTGCACTGGATGCTCAGTGAGTGGCGAGGGAATGATGGTGCTGCCCTCCAGTGGTGGTAATATGTAACTTCACGGTGCTGTAGAGCAGTATGAATATGACGGCTGGGAATAATACTGTGTGCTCAACCCTACAGCAGAGCACCACACAGTGCTGGAAGGCTTAAAGGGCCAACACAGCCAACGAAAGCAATGTCTTCTTCTTTAACACCCCGTATGATGTCATAGTGATGTCATCAGGGTTATGACGGTTTAGGCTAGGCTAAAAGAAAACTTATTACAATGGATGTGGATTTTAAGAGACACATGCATTTAGGGTGGGAGGAAAGGTACTATTCAGTTGAATTATGGGAACTGGGAGGTGTAGGATGTAGACTCTTTAATTTTATGTTCCAACCAGATGCTTTTCTTTTTAAATGTTCCTTATGTGTCCCATAAAAGTGCTGGTGAGAGTGCCTTTTGTTTTTATGCCCCTAAACTGTGAGATTTGCTGCCTCTGGATATTAGAAACCTATAATAAAAAAAACTATATGTTTTTAATCTGGCTTTTACCTTTGAGTAATGTTATAACCTTCATTTTTAGGTTTTAATCTTTGGCTTTTACATAATTTGTCTCCCTGGTGTTTTTTTTTTTTTCAAATCAGTGTTGTTCATTTTTGTTCCTATGTGTTCTTTCAGTTTGTTATGTGAAGGGCTGCGTGTTTGCATGAATGTCTTTAACACATGCACTGAGATTTAGCCAAGCGTCTGCCAAGAAGGGTTGGATCCATCGATCAGCATGTGCACAATCAAGGTTATATTGTTGCTAATTGACAAGTATCAGTTAATCATGTATATCACAATGATGAATCAAGATAAGCATTGCAAAATCTCTTTCAGACAGATAAAGGGCAATTCATTTTAATATCCCCCATGAAACTACACAACCACAAATACAGATAAGCTTTTCTCATGGTCTCTGCACGATGGGAATATAGTTAATAATTCATATATTCCTCCTTTTTTCTGTGTCTGGTAACCTTGTAGCTGGGATGAGCAGAAATTGGAGAGGAGACAAGAGAAACAGAACAGGAAAGAATGTAATAAGACTGAAATGTCTTTGAAGGTTTTCATCATCTAGGTCTCTGGATATCCAGAACTGATATATCTCACATCAATGAGGATTCAAATAAATGGCAAGTATTAAAATATAAAATACTATTGAAACAAATCGAAGATCAGACATAAACTTTTTATTTTATGCACTACGTCTCCGTGCACCAACTTTCCTCCTCAGCTCATTGCAGGTGTTATCTCCTGGTCTGATAGTGACTGCTGATACCCAAAGGTCATGTCTTTTAAGCTGAACCTTAAACTTGTCTTGTCATTATATAACTTCATTTATAGGAGGTACCTAGGCGCCTCCCAGAGGTGTCTGTACCTTTACCTGGCCTCAGCTGCTCTGTCAGCTCCTCTGATGTTACAGCCTGCCTGTGCTGCTGCTGCTGCTGCTGCCGGGTCGCAAACATAGACGAGCTGCACACACTAGCACACACCACAAACACAGACAGAAGGAGAACAGGCTGCCAGGCAGGCAGGAAGGCAGACAGACAGACAGACGTACGGAGAGGGAACGGACGGAGGGAAACGCACACCACCATGGTTTTCTGTAACAGAAGGTGCGGGCTGATAGCTGGAGCTGTGATTGGGGCGGTGGTAGCCATCCTGGGAGGCATCCTTATCCCAGTGGGGAACAACGTCATTGAGGGGACAGTGGAGAAGGTATGGTGCTCAGTTTCACCCTTGGGTGGAGAATAGGGAGTGACAGAGTGTGTGAATGTGTGTGTGTACGCGGTGATCAAGGTGAATCAGGAGAAATGAGAGGCGTGCGTTTTTTGGAAAGCTGCTTCAACTGGCAAGTGTGGCAAGTGTGTCTTGTTTTCCTCCATCAAAAGATAGGCATGTGTGATTTGTTTAAGGCACTGTAGAGAGAGAGAAAAAAAACGGTTTAGACCTTTTTTATCACAGAGCATCCACCGTTTTCATGTATCAGTGGGACAGCTGGCCTGCTGGCAGTCTTGAGGCATGTTAAAAATAGACTGTGTCTGTGTGTCTGTGGGGTTTAGGAAGCCGTCATTGAGCCTGGAACAACAGCTTATGACAACTGGGTGGCTGCAGGGGCAAAGGTGTACAGGCAGTTCTGGTTTTTTGACTTGAAAAACCCCCTGGAGGTTTTGCAGTATGGTGCAATTCCAGTGGTAGTGGAAAGGGGACCTTACACATATTGGTAAGGTTGATTTGTTTACCTCTTAAATATCATTTTGATGACAGGTGTTCCGAATTTGATTTGAAACAAATCTAATACAGAAACAAAAGGCTTTTATTCCTGATGTCATATGAAATGTAATGTCTAAGTAAGACCCTCTCCCCCTTCAGGACAAGATATCTCGCCAAAGAGAACATCACTTTCCACCCGAATCACACTGCCTCCTTCCTGCTGCCTTTTGGGGCCATCTTCGAGCCATCCATGTCAGTGGGATCAGAAGAAGACAAAATCACCACCCTCAACCTGGCTGTGGCTGTAAGTGTAACCCCACTGTGCGGTGATTCCTGACTTGACTCAGCTCTACTGCTAATATTAGTTACGGTACCTCTGTTGCAAAGCCAAGAGGAGCTATGCCAAAGCAAGCTGTGGGTTGTGGTTCCCAACCTGTTTTGGACTGTGACCCTCTGTGACAGGTTGTTGGTGAGCTGAGAAGAGTGATTGCCCCTTCACAGGTTGTTCCTTTAAAATATATTAAGGCTGAAAACTATCCAGAAATTCAGTAGGAAAGCAGAGATTAGAGAATCATTTGTACAATAAACTTAAAAGCAGAACTACATTATGGTTTTTCTTGGGCCCCCTCAGATTTAGATTTTATCTTTTAACCTTAAAGAGGGTCCCGACCACCAGGTTGGGAACCAGTGCACTGGAGGGTTGTTGCAGAAGGGGAACTTAAGTTTGGTTGGTACAGGTTAAGGTTTATGCTATACCAGTGTTGCAACAATATATAGAGTTTCTGCACTGATATCATCATACTTTGAGGAATATTAACATGCTTTTCCATAAAACCCCTATTTTATACAAAATATTTAAATGTAAAGAAAACTTCAGGTATTTTTCAACCTGTGTTTTATTCCCACAGTGACACACAGTGTAACGTGTGAACAACAATGTGTATATGGGCAGCTAGCATGGTTAGCCAGCAAGTTTCCTTGGAAGCAGTACGCAGTTAATTACAACAGCAAATGCAGCGGGCTAATTTCTGTTTACACTTACAACACTTAGCAATGTTTTTCAGAAGCAAGCAGCTTGCTTGGTTATCTGGCAAGTTGCCCCAGAAGTCAGCTACAGTAGCTAATGCAGCAGGCTAATTCCTGTTTACTTGGATAATGCTGCATGTTTTTCATTAACATGCAGCCTGCTTGGTTAGCCGATCAATCTGAATGAGGATTGGACGGGTTTTAGGTTCTAAAAAGGTATTAAGAATACCGAGCTCAATGGTAACTGGCAACTTGAGGCTAAAATTAACATGGTGCAGAGATGCTGCCTTGTTGTAATCTGGAAATTATTAACAACCGGAATATTTTACAATGGCAGTCTGTTCATGTCTGAGTCTGTAGTCTTAACGTGTATAAGGCTCAAATGATAAAGCAATTCCAATAAGAGTGTCTGTAAGTGATTACGCAGTATAACACTCATAAAAGAGGATTTCTTTCTGATCTCTTCAGGCAACCACAGCAGTTTTTTGAACAGCAGTTCTGCATGTTTCGCAAACGCTTCATTGTGGAAGAATACAGATTTATAACTGACACCATCACTGATAAAGAAATTATAATTTACTGAGCTTTTACAAATATAAAAGGTAAATGTTTTTGGACTTCTTTTCAGGGAGCTTATTCAGTGGTTCCAAAAGTGTTTCATGGCATGCTGAACAAACTGATAACGTCAAGCAACTCCTCCTTGTACCAGCGCCGTACAGTCAATGAACTGCTGTGGGGTTACACAGACCCCATGTTGAAAACACTTGTGGGCCTGTTTGCACCTGTGAGTAAACAAATATATGGCCTAAGACACTCAATCTACCCAGTAACTCCTTAGATATACTATGATTTTATTAATTTATTGACTTAAATGTATTTCTTCTAGTACAATGGTACCTATGATGGCTACTACAATGTCTACACTGGAAAGGATGACATCTCTAAAGTTGGACAAATTGACATGTGGCGAGGACAGAGGTATGTCTGATTATGGTAGGGTGAAGGAGATACTGAGTTAGTATCTTTACTGAGGTTCTACAGATATTCACAGGTGACAAAAATTGTATTATTAAATCAAATATACAAATTTTGACAAATTGAATTTTGTCCAACAGGACTTTACGTTTCTGGAACGACACGTACTGTGACATGATCAACGGGACAGGTGTGGCTCATGCAGCAATGTGCTTTGTAACAAAAAGCTACAGGACTTCTTTTTTCCTGAACCCCTTCTTATAACGCACTTCTGTAGCTCTAAATACAGACGAGTCACCTTTCTGACCTGATTTCTTGTCCCCCTTTCTCAGATGCTTCGTCATTCGCTCCCTTTATGGACAAGAAGAAGCCTATATATTTCTTCTCATCAGACATCTGCAGGTGACGAAGAGTTTCATTTTGTGGGAGCAATATCATCTTATCTAGTCTGACTGCACTTTGCGAACATTAAATGGGCCAGTAAGTGTCAACGACGGCAAGATTTAAAATCTTAATTTGAGAACTGCTACCATTTGGACTTTCTTCTCAGTAACCACTAGAGGTCAGAGCTTGCCAATACCAAAAAACCATGGTCATGTACTTGAGTCATTCTGAGTTAAGTTGCACCATAGAGCCAAAGATAACACAAGGTACACAAGGTTCAGTTGCTGGAAAACCTTTGAACTAATCTCTGTGTTGTTATGTCTTCAGGTCTGTATCAGCTAGCTTTGTGGAAAGCAAGGATCTGAAAGGGATTGAAGTGTACCGCTATGCCCTCCAGCCAAATACACTGGCCTCCCCTACAGTCAACCCAGACAATCAATGTTTCTGCAGAAATATGGATGTCACCAAGAACTGCACCTTGGCTGGAGTACTGGACATCGGCTCCTGTCAAGACGGTCAGTTTGCATTTCTTTATGTAGGATCAAATGTCCAGTGTGTAACATTTAGAGGGATCTATTGGCAGAAATGGAGTAAAATATTCATAGGTATATTTTCATTAGTGTATCACCTGAAAATAAGAATCACTGTGTGTCTACACAAAGATTACAGAAGGAGCTTCTACAGAGGCTGCCACGTTGGACCCATGTTTCTACAGTAGCCTAGAATGGACAAACCAAGCTCTATCTTTAGGCATTTTGTGAGTTTTGGGTCCACTGTAGTTGAGTTGTCTATTCTCTTGCTATGTAAATAGGAAGACCTATCTACATCTCTCTGCCCCACTTCCTTCATGGCAGTCCGTACCTACGAAAGGCGGTTCTGGGCCTCAATCCCAGCGAGGAGCATCATGCCACTTTCCTGGATGTGGAACCTGTAAGAGCTTCTCAACTTCAATTCACTTTGTGATTTTTGACTTTTAGCGACTCGGATGTAAGTTGTGGTATTTTTTCCACCAGACAACTGGGTTCACCTTGAGGTTTGCCAAGAGAATTCAAGTGAATATGATGTACGGACCATCAAATGTCATCACGTAAGTTGTGATTCAAAAAGATTTTTAAAGGGAACACTTTGGGGAAATATGATTTTTTTCCCTGCTTGACGAGAGTTAGATGAGAAGACTGAGACCACCCTCAATGTTTGTATGGCTACAGCCAGCAGCTGGTTAGCTTAGCTTAGCATAATATAAAGATTAGGACAACCCTAGTTCTGTTCAGAGGCAACTTAATCTGCCATTCAACACCACTAAAAATCACTTTTTTCTGGTCTGGTAAGTTAACTGCTAAGTTAACCTACTGCTTTGTACAGATTATACTACTATATAGATACTATATAGACTAGATATTACCTATTTGTTAGGCAAAACTTGTTACCTTCAGATGGAGCCAGGGTTGCCGTTCCCTGTCTTTGTGCTAAGCTAAGCTAACCGGCTGTTGTCTGTAGCCTCATATTTACCGTAAGGACAGAGTGTTATTGAACTTCTCCTCTAACTCTCAGCCATAAAGTGAATAGGTGTATTGTTTTGAGACAACATCATGAAACTGAATGCTGAGTAATGAACTCTTTCCCTGCAGGGTGCTTAAGAAAGTCAAGGATTACACCATATTCCCTCTTGCTTGGCTGAACGAGGTAAGATAAAAATGAGCCCTGCAGTTGTGAAGTGTATATTCTGTTAGCTTGGGATGCATGGTAATCAGTCACCCTCTCGTCCCGTCTCCCTCTACCAGACGGCTTCGTTGGATGACGAAACAGCGGATTTGTTTAAGAAGGAGCTCATCTCCCGTATCCAGATGTTGGACATGATACAGAAGGCGCTGTTGGGCATTGGTGTGGCTATCTTCGTCCTGTGTCTCACCTCCTACTGCGTGGTGGTGAGGAGAAGTAACAAGCTGGTGTGAATGACTCATGCAGAGAAGAGTGCATTTAAGCTGCTGTGGGACATTGAACCTTTTGATATAGACTTGCACTTTTTTGTAATTTCAGTGTTATTTATAATGTCATACCTCCCTTGATTCAAGGGAAGGGGATACTGTGATTTTGTAAAGCACAAGAGCTGAATTCCTTTGCCATGTATTGTTTTAATTGCAAACACTGTAACATTAACTCAATCAGGGATTTCTGGAGGGAGAGCAGATGGAGACTCCTCTGAACTGTCAGGTTATCAATCCACACAGAGGAGAAATGAGTTTGCTTGACATCCTACAAAATAAAGTGTCCATGAATCTAGTCTTGCGCAAATGTTCATATCCTTTGCTGAAGTAGTGTCTTCAAAATGAATAAAAGCTGAAAAGGAGTTTTTCATTGGGTATCCTTTCGTAGTACTGGGCTGTTTAAAACTGGTCTACATCCATCTTGGTCCAAAATACATAGAGACTGTCCCGCTGCTGAAACAAACTGCCGCATTGTGCACGTTGAAGCAAACTTAAATGGTTTCCTCTTTACCTTGAGTGGCCCATCAATCAAACAAAGCAATACAAAATGGACTGGGGGATGATTATACTGCTGTTATGAATGGTACTTGGGTTTGTTTAGTGAGAAAGCAGTATTTCTGCCTAGCAGGAGGCCTCTCTTCGATTTTATGGCTTACAAACGAGCCCCCCTGGGTGTCTTTGATTTTACTGCTCGGTCTGAATCTGACATGTCACACATATACGTGTTTCATTGGGATTAAAACAGACAAGTTTTACAGCTCTTCCTTGAGGTGGGGCAATTTACACTGTCCACTGATCTTTGAAATATAGAACACACGCTTCTGTTTGAAAAGCTAGACCCTTTTAAGCTTCCGTTTAATATTAAACCCATATATTTTACAGGTTGTCAAAAGCTTGTTACCTTCAGACAGAGCTAGGCTAGCTGTTTCAAGTCTTTGTGCTGAGCTAAGCTAACCAGTTGTTTGCTGCAGCTTAATATTTACCATACAGACATGAGATCTTTCTGTAAAATTGAGATTCATCTGAATTGATTTATTCAGGCTATCATGACAATAATAAATAGAAATACATATGTTTCATAACACTGAAATTACACTGAGTTGAAGCTGACATGATGCTGGTCACACAGTTTTATTCAGCGTGGAGCAGAGATCTGTATGAGGGAAGGTACAGCTAGAGAGTCTTTTCTCAAAATGAAAATAATACTGTATATCTCTGCAATTTGCAGATACAGTCATAGTTGGTGAAATAGGATGAAATTATATACACAATTATTTCACAAAAACTCAGCACAACATTAAATTAAAAGGATGAAACGGACAAAAAAATACTCTGTACACAAGCAACAAATAATCTCTATCTACATTAACTACGCTTCTGAAAAAAAAAAACCAGTCTATTCACAAATGTCAAATGGTTTATCTCACAGACTGTCTTGCTGAGTTAAAGGTCCAGTGTGTAACATTTAGGAGGATCTATTGGCAGAAATTGGATATAACATTCAAGGTATGTGTGTAAAATTACCTGAACATAGGAATCTTTGTGTTATTGTTACCTTTGATTGAGCTTTTATCTACAGACGCTGCAGCTCACCTTCCATGAAGTCCGCCATGTTTCTGGCCTTTTTTTTTAGTTTTGCGGCCATTGTAGTTCCTCCTACACACTTCACAGCCTCTCATTCCCAGGTCATCAGTCTGTAGTCTACAACTTCACAGCCAGATACCACTAAATCTTACACACTGGTCCTTTAAAAGTACGTCCAGTTTGCTATAGATGACGTGGAAAATGTGGATCCAAAGAAGGATATTGTCATGTTTCAGCATCTACTGTACCTTATGATGTAAACTTTCCAGGTTTACACTAACCAAAAAAAATCTGCTTATCTGCAGGTTTGGTTACTCAAAGGATTAAGAGACCACTACGTTACTCATAAACATGCGTCTGTGCTACAAACAAGTATGATACAATATGCAGCCGAATTAACAGTCTCTTACATGTATGTCTGAGTAATAGGAATAAATACAGGAGAGATCATGTAAGATGTTTGCAACAGCTCACACACAGACTTTCATATTCTACTCAGTCTTTTAATACTATTTCTGTTTGGGTAACATCAGCACTGGATGTCAAGTTTGGCCTTTGAACTAATACATTTGCTGACAGCACTGTAATATAACACTTATTGGGACCACTTGCCATCTGCACTTTGTATGAACAGTAGACAGTATGGCTGTCAACCTGTGAGATGAAAAAGTTATTTTTTTCCACACAAGTGGACTTTTTATTACCCTACATGTCATCCCACTGAGCAGACAATTTTGTTAGTTTAAAGTAAACACAGAAATGTGAGTAGAATCTAATGAAAGATTAGTATAATACTTCCAGAGGGCACTCACTGTCAAACATGCATCTGTCTCCCTTTTGTCCCTTTTCAATCTCCTTTATTTACTATCTTGAGTTCAAATTAACTCCTCTTTTAGTGAACAAATCCACTGTGAGCTAATATCCGGACGGTCCAATTTCCCCTCTAATATCTAAAGTATGATAAGATCAGAGCTGCATCTCATGGTGTATTATCATAAGCAATATCAGCGGAGACCACAGTTTATTAGTGGCACTCGCAACAGGGCCACTTCAGTTTGTGATGAATGGCTTGTGGGTGCCTGTGAGTGTGCGTTAGTGTATGTCACAGCCATCTGGTCACAGTGCCTCATGCAAGAAAAAAACAAAAAAAAGAGATATTGCCGAATAACAACTCCCCGCACCCACCTCCTCGTTTTACTGTACGTCCACAGTGCAGCTCTGCAGTTTGAGATGAGAGTTGGAAAATGAGGATCTGGATATAGAAACAGAGGAAGGCGTGCGTGTCAGTCTCTGCAGCAGCCAGCTCCCCTTGTGTCAGACCTCTGGGAGGTGATTGCGGCGGTTGCGGCTCTTCCTGCGGTCCAGCAGGGGCTTCAGTTTGGCCATGTCGCCCCTGAGAGGTCCAGGCGGCGGAGGCTGCTGCTGCCTCTGCTGGAGGTTCTGGAGCTCCTTCCTCTCTTTGCAGTACTGCTGCACGGCCAGGCTCTCCGCCGGACTGAAGGCTGCCAATAGGACCTTGGGGTGCAGCGAGCTGGCCCAGGCCCACGGCGACTGCTGCTTGTCCGTCAGCATGCTCACCATGGCCTCGCTCAGCACTCGCAGGCGGATCTTGGCGACGGTGCGTTTGAAGCTGTTCTCGGTGGTCAGGCAGTAGTAAAGGCCCTGGTCGGACAGCTGGACGGAGCGGATGAGGAGGCCGTGCTCCGTGGAGAGGACGCGGTCACTCAGCTTCACCTGTGGTTGGCACAATTAGGCCGTGTCATAACACCATCCACATGATGTGTGACAGAGAATTGCAAGGGAACTAAATCTAGCTTCACAGTATATACAGTGCAGACAGGTAACAGGTTAAACTTGAGCAATTACTAAATGTAAATTAAAGAGAAAGAAATAATCTGGAATACAGATAATCAAAAATAAGCAATCAATTTAAAATAACCATGATATTAAACTGATACTTAACTGATACTTAAACCCTTAATACCACACTGTTTATTCCTTATCCACTGACTACCTTTTAAACTAGCTGGACTTTAGTTTGGAAAAGACTCCAATGATTACACACCGTAAAACTAAAGTGATTTATTTCAGGGGCAACTTCGATTCTCACGGGGAAACGGCTATAAAACGGCCATTACTCTGAGCCTGCACCACGGAGGCGAGAACTAAATCCATAGAAGATTGTGTCTTTATTTAAGCAGGCGCTCTCTTACCGGGCTTCATTTAATATTTCACTTTCTTTCAAAGGGTTAAAGGGACTGTCAAATATTTGTGAAATGTTTCCCCGCTAAGAATCCGGTCATTAGTCAAGGTCTATATCATGTTTGATCTGTATCGCTGCTCATTAGGACGCTCCGCTGCCAATAAGTGCTCACTTTGTCATTCCTCAGGCGATACAAGTCCTTATCAAGTGTGTGAGCTCATCTGAATGCACGACATGATTAATGTTTGATGTAATGATTTAACTACGCGACTGAAACACCAGAGCGGCTCCCTGTACATCAGAAAAAGGACATTTAATCAGTTATGTCTCTTAGGGATTTCCTTTGTGGTCTTTGCCCCACTTCGGCCTGTTACATACGAGCGAGGGGCGGGTGTGATGTGTGACCTTTGACCTCTCTAAATGTCAAACTGACCTCTTTCCTCCTGTCATTGTCCCTCTGAATAAGCCAGCGAATGGAGGCCTGGGGAGACTTGGGAAGACACTCCAGGAAGGTGGTGTTGTTTTTCACGCCGTATTGCGTCATCTCCACTGCGTTTCTGTAGGCTGGCGCACACACACACACACACACACACATCGAGTCAATGGAGCCACATCAGACGTCACTTGCTGACGGACATAAACCCCACAGATGGGCTCAAATCTGTCTGAAGTCCCCACAGTGAGAGTGAAATGTTGACACAAAGCTTAGTCCAACACCTGCAACAAGAGCCAAACTTCACCCAGACTTCTTCAATTTCTAACCGAATAACAAAACAACCTCCAATGCGTCAACTCAGTTTCGTCTCATTTGCCGTGTCGTTTTTTTTGTCGCAGCTAAATGGTACATCACTCAGCTGGATGTGTGACAGGGTTCTGACTAATTAGTGGTAATGGCCATATGGTTGCTTCCCCAAGCTCGTGTTAATTTAGAAACGTAAACTGTTTTGTGGAAATGGAGCTCTCTGGGGAGCGAATCCTCTCCTCTCATTAAACTGCACCCCGCCAGTCGACTGCGTGCGTTTCTGTGAAGGATTGTTGTGCAGCACCTGGACAATCAAACAGACAAGCAACACCCCTGGACAGGTACATGAACACGCAGGAACATACAGCAGTTGCAGCTACAGCTTTGGTGGAAACAACTACAGTCATTCGTCCATCAAAATTATCTCTCCATCAGACTTACTTTTAGAATGACAGTAAATGTGTCAATGTCAATCTGCGGTGGGAGTATGTCTAACATGACAAATTTCCCTTTTCAAATACTACATTACTTTTACTCTTTTATGTATTTTTTGGACACTTGGGGGCAGTGGAACTTAAAAAAGAGCTGAAAACATTCCCACCACATGAATTTGTTAGCAATTGCCTATTTACACAACCTGTTGACATGTAGCAACATTAGCATTCATTTGGAAGTAAGTAAGCGTAATATTTACCCTTTAAAAAAAGGTCTGTATCTGCTAGCTGCTTTTCTTCTGCAGCTATTTGCTCATTTAGTCTGCTGTCGGGTGCGGGGCAGGTAGCGTGCAGGGAATTAATCAGAGCTTTTTTTTTTGCTGAAAAAAACAGCTGCCTGCTGTTGTGAGGTTGATGACTGTGTTATTTGTGGGCCGTAAAATCTAAACAATTAGCTAAAAGAGCCTAAGCTCTGTGGAAAAATCTCAGCGGGGTTGTCCCTACTAGCGACACCTTTCACACTCCAAATATATTGATTAGTGCTGGCAGCTTTAATTACCTTTAAGATTGAATCCTCTGCATTGAGTGAGTGGATTTCCATGCATAATGTCCTGCCTTCTGCTTCTCCTAAAAAATATTAGAAGAAAATAGCAATGAGTATTAATACACTGCAGCTAAATACAGAAAAAAAACCACACAATCATAACAACCTTCTTCCTCACATGTGCCTCTCATATTGAAACTGCGCGAGGAGCACTCAGTGCCAAAACAATATGAGGAAAATCTGACTGTTATTCCACTCAGCGGGGCACACTCATATAGAACAGCTTGAGGAAAAGAGCACGTAAACAGCTGACACATCTCAGACACATTTTCCGCAGGAAAAACTGGCGCTGCGCTTTTGTTCTGGGACCAAACTAAGCCTGACCTGCGACTGACTGGAATGTCAAGAGACAGGCAGCTGGTCCTTAAAGAGACCAGAGACGTGCTGCTTTAGAGACGAGGTGTTGCTCGTACCTCCTCGTCTGTGTTATGTCTAGACGGAGTGAGGGAAGCAACAAAAGCCGAATCGGTGACATGGCTTACATTGACATTGACGTGTGTGCTGAAGGAGGCTGTGAGCAGCTCTTTTCCATTCTTGTTTAACATATTGTTGTTCCTTAGCTGTGTCCCACATTCAATATAATACGACAGGGCGTGGTGCATTGATTGATTTCATATTTGTTGTATAACTGAGGAATACTTTGGATGTCTCACTAGATTGTCAAGGCAAATTGGGAAAGATTCAAAGCGAGTGAATAGAAATACTGAATTTTATTTAAAAAATCCACACTATGCCAATGCTTATTTAACACTAGTGAAAGTTTTGAATAGCTGCCTTCATGAATGGACTCTCTAATCAACACCTGTCAGCACTTATTAACACTGAAAAGGTTTTTTGTGGGGCTTAAAAACAATTTTTTTTCCTCACACTGCTTAGACAAGAATCTCTGGTGGACACTAAAAACTCCTTTGCATGCAATTTAAAGATACTGAACACTCCCACAAAACTGCAGTTATGAATCCTAAAACTGTAAACCTTTGTGTACCTTTTGCCTGTGGGATAAAAGCGAGAGCAGCTGAGTCCGTCCCATGCGCAGTAGGGGTCTCTGGCGAGGCAGCAGTCAGCGCAAGCCGAGCCGTAAGCGTGACAACGGTGCAGGGAGACCTGCGAGACCCCGAACTCCGAGCTGACGTACAGCTGTTGCTGCAAAGTAAACAGTTCAAATGTCAGTCGCCCTGTTTGTCTTAATAAGTGGCCGGCTGACAGGAAAATGAAGCAGAGTGCAGAAACAATTATGGCTTATTATTTCCTTGCCTTTGGGAGGCTTATTATGCACAGGAGATTTCTCTCTCGTGCGTTACATGGAAGCCATGAAGTATGAATAACATATTAAAACAATTAAACTGCACTTAATATGCGAGGAAAGCAAAGTTGGGAAGGACACTTACTTTTTTGGAGGATATTCTCAAGTTTGTAACAGGAGCTTGATTCTGAGAAATGGCACAAAAAAGAAGCAAGTTCAGAGCTTTTGGACATTGTTGTTTTTTCTATCAAATTGAGAGTTTGATGTTTAGATCTGTAAAATATGAAGCCGCCGCCAGCAGATTAGCACAAAGACTGGAAACAGCGATGCAGGCTCTGCCCGAAAAATCTGTCCAAAATCCGCCTACCAGCACCTCTAAGCTCACTAATTCATAAATAATTTCTTATTTGTTTAATCTTGCCAAAAACTGAAGTGCATAAGCCAACAATACGTTGTGATTTTATGGGGTAAGCTAGGCTAACTGGCTGCTCATTGCAGGTTCATATTTCCTATTCAGATATGACACTGGTGTGTTTATGGTGGATGTTAATTGTTAATTTGCAACACCTCTCAGAAAGAAAACGGGTTTCCCAGAATGCCAAACAATTCCTTTAAAAATATTTTTTTGATTACAGAAAACAGCTTATCATACTTTAATAAAATAATAGTCATAGCAGAGAAGGTAGCCATCTAGGATCAGCTTCCCGCCAGATGTCTTTAACTTTCTAGAATAAATATATGTCTTCTGAGAATAAATGTCTTCTGAATGACAGACTGCTATAGTCCAGGTGCTGTGGGAGATCAAAGGAGCCGTCTGATCACAGGTTAATCACACTTTTAGGGATTTTTAGCTAAGATAAAACAGTGTGTGCGAAGGTTCACTCGGGGCAACAACCAGACTCTTGCAGTATGTAAGCATGTTTCCCATCACTCCATGCTGCCCTGCACTGCAGAACATCCATATCCTGAATGCCACCCTGCTTTTGTCTGTCTGCCCCCTGGCCTTTGTCTTGTGGCCAAGCTCACCCTCCTCCTCCTCTTCCTCCACCCAGCCTTTGATTTTGGGAGGGAAAAGGGATGAAAGTAAGAGTGGAATAAAAAGCAAAGGGAGAAAAACAGCTGACCTTAAACACTTCCATCTCCTCCAGGATCAGATCTTCATGCAGGGACTGATTGGTGGGCAGGACAATCACCTTCTGTACTGTGCCTTTGTCTGGGGGCGGAAAGGGAGACATGTCATGAGTTGTAGGCACACGCAGACATTTAACAACCATGTGAGGCAGATATGGCTATGCCGAGACATGTGTGCTAGAAAAAAACTAGTGAAAAAAATAAACTCCAAGTCTGTTTTCCTTTACCCATGTTTGCTTTTGAATTAAGCATGATAGCCATGGCCAGCTTCCATATCAAAATCAACTGTGGCAGGAGAGGGAATGGGAGCTCTGCACGAGGGAGGATAAGGGCCACGAAAAGGGCAAAATGCAACACTACCATCATCAATATGGCTGTTTTGTCCAGGGAGCTGGAGCAGCAGAGCGGGGAGAAGGAGTTACAGTAACAGCTCCTGGAAATGCCTGATAAGAGAGTCTCCCTCATTCTTCAGACAAAGCAGCATTTTCGTGCTCAGATATGGTAAGACAGCACAGGCTTTTCTTCAAGAATTCAGGCAGGAGAAACAGAGTGGAGAGGGTGTCTGATAAACACAAGCAGCTGTGAGAGAGAGAGAGAGTCCGAGGGTGGCTTGCTGAACGCAAACATGTGCACGAATGCACGCAAAAGGATGTCTGCACACACACATATTACTCTGTTTGTAAGCACAGGAACTTTATATATTTCTGCTTGTGCAATGAGATATGCACTTTCATGTCTTCAGGTTTCTAAAAGCCTTTGATTAAAGCAAACAAAGAGACAAGTGAACTGCACTCGAACCACTCGCATGTTCTTGCACCTGATTTAATAAAATTAAACTATGTACTACTACGTATGAGATTAAAGTCCTCTGATAAAGGACCTTATCTTGTCACCCTGTCTGTGGCCTGTGACATAATTTATGCTTTATGCTGTGTCATGTTGTTTGTGTTTTCAAATTTGCCACCACACCCACATTTAACTAACCTAACCTCTGTTCTCTGTTTATCTGATAACCAGCTGTGGCAAAGGGACTCAACAATACTTTATTTATGAAACTGATGACTCATGTGACAGAGGGAAAGTGTATTACCTGTCATTTCACTGTCAGTTGGTTTCTTTCTAACTGAAAATTCTTCCATTTTAAGACGTCCTTATCAATAATGCTTGTGTAAAATTGAAGATTAGCCAATATATAATTTTCAGATGCTTTATTTTCAAATATGTATATCACTATCAACCTCAGTATCGGTCGAGGCCTTGCTCATTCCAAAATTCAGCCTGTGGCCTCAGTAAGGCTATATTCACTTAGACTGAAAAAACAACAACAACAACAACAACTATATCCAGTAACTAAAACAAATGTGATTTTGGGTGTCAATAAGTAAAGCGATGTTGATACTAAAGGAGTGATGTCTCTTTTTTTAAATTCCACACTCATTTTTAGAAAAATTTCAATCAAAAAAAGAAAGATTTTACATTTGAATGACACATTTTATAGTTTTTCTGCATTGTTTGTAACTAATTTAGATACATCCACATCTACTTATTTGGGCATGTGCTTTCTGGTGGTTTATGGAACGAGAAAGTGAATGAAATCCACCAGTTCAGTGCCATTTTCAATGCAGCCTCATCCGCTTTTGAACAAATGAAATAAGACACATCATTCTGCTGATAATCCTTTCACTCAAAATGATCTGATTTGAGGTTTAAATTAATTCTGCCTTCTAGAGGATATACATGAAATTGTTTTTGTTACAGTATTTTAGCATGGCCTTAACATACAGCAGAAAACATAATATAGCTCTTGTTGTGAACATAAGAAAGAGCAAAATTTGGCTGTACTTTGCTAGAATCTGCTGGACCTGTCTACATTCATACCTGTGCCCAGGAAGAGCACTTGGTAGTTGCCGTCAGCAGCCATGACCTGGTCCACTGCCACTGATGTGTATTTGTAGTCAGCATTGGTCCGAACCACTAGAGGTCTCCTCCCCACTGGGTAGATGGGGTTGAACATGACTGGATGGTTCCGTACGAAGGTCACCACGTCGTCTGGGAACTCCTTTGTTGACTGGATGTCAGGTGTGAAAGCTCCGCCGGGACACTGGAGAAAGGTAAGTGAGTGCATTGTGTTTAAATGAATGTCATTCTCATATCCACAATCTGAAAAAAAATAAAGAATTGCCCTGAGAGTCCAAATATATACTTAGGTGGAATAGTTTATAGATCATAGATATTAAGATAATAGACAATATACACTAGTATGCTGAGAATTTAGCTAAATATATAAAGGTTAAATATGGAGTCCCACAAGGGTCTATATTGGGGCCTTTTTATTCAATATTATTCTTACATACATTTGTGAAGTGTCAAGGGTAATGCAGTTTATTATGATTGCAGATTAATTTTTTTTCAGTTTAATTTCATTCTTTCATTTCTGGGTAATGTTATACAATGTACTGACAGTATTGTAAATTAAATGATATTATGTAATTATGGAAATGTACTGTTCTCTGTCATTTATTAAATGATTATTGAGCCACAATGACAGTATTGAAAAGGTTTAAGGTTTATTAATAGACAATAAGCTTGATAATCTTTTGGTAATGTTATATAAAGGCAATACTGCATTGCCGTTTTCAGCAAACCAAATTATACTATCCACTGTCCATCTATATATCTATACCCAGTTAGTATGCAAGGCAAAGTTACTAAATGATTTAATGTGAGTAAAAAAGATTATTGCCTAAAGAATTGCACAAATGTGTATTTCACCATGTTGAATCTAACTGCTGAGTTCAGATAAAGAAACTGTGCCTAGAGGGAATACCTGCAATTTAATGAGTAATATTCATATTCAGCTGTTGCTAATGTATGACGTTGTGTTGTCATTCCTTTTATAGCAAAAGGCTGTTCAATCATTTATGTTATTTATTCATTTTTAAAGAACAAGTCTGGTAATACAAGATTTTTTTTCTCCCTACTCATTCCCTAGCATAGGATGTGTAAAGAGGCATTGTCAAGATGAATATTTTATATAAAATGTTGTTGTAGAATCATGCACTGAAATAACCAATGAATGAATGATTTAATGAATGAGTGAATGGCCTACAAATTAACTCACAGTTCCTGGTCTTGGATAAGGAATGCGCCCCTGGAAGGCCACCCACTGAAAGTTGGGCCCCTCTCTGTGAGCGAAGGGCCCGTTGAAGACGGTGAGGATGTCGGCCATGTTGTACACGCACACTGCTGAGCCTTTAAACACGGAGCTGAGGAAATGAGATGCATACTTTAATGAAACACAACAGTGGGACCCACCCAGCTAAAATATTCAGCAGTTGTTTATTAAGATCTCTGTTTCTAAGGGTATGCGAGTCATGCAGTCTGGGTGGAACCGTTGCCACTCTCCAGTGAGGACAGCTCACCTATTTTGCCCTCACGGATGTGGTTTGGCAGTCATTTTAAACCACACTGCTTAGCACATAAAAGGGGCTTTGTTGAAAAGGGGCACAGAAGCATATTGTGTGAAGTGGAGACGGAGGAAGAAACACAGTGTGGCGATAGGAATAACATTGATTTAAAAGACCTCAAGGACCTCACTGTTTTGGTTTGGCTTTAGTCTTTGAGCCAGGATACACTACTCTAGCCTTTCTATGATCCTGAGGTAACAAGTGGATTGAGGGCCTGTGGCAGTCACCCTGGGTTAACCAGACAAAGTCAATTAAAGATCAGAACAGACGGATCAAGTGACTAAACCTCCAAATGTTCCATGTAACCCTGCTGACTGTGACTTCTGGCTGATTGAGAGTAGTGTAATCAGTTTATTCAGTGTGGTTTTATTAAATTACCGCAGAGGTCTAAACAGTATGTGGTAAACTTTTCTTTCCTTCATTTCTTATGTCAAAATCATTACGTTAAAATGTTCACCTTCATGTTATTCTCCAGATTTGGTGCTTTAGTTTTTTCCCCGAAACACTGAAGGATAAAGTGTTCCTTTATGGGTTGACAAAAATTCTCCAACTTCTGGAGCAAAATAAACCATTTAAAAACCTGCTGGATCGCAAATACATATTATCCCGCAGGTAAAAACAGGCCTGTTTGGACAACTCATGAAAAGTTTTTAAAGATTAATTTTGTGGGCCTTTTGCCTATGTTGGATGAGGACAGCTGAAAAGAGACCGGGGGAGGGGGTGGAGGGGGAGAGAGAGGGGATGAATTGTAGCAAAGGACCCTGGGCTGGACTCCATCCCGGCCCGCTGTGGTGAAGACTCAGTCCCGACAAGGACTGTAATGGCATAGGGAATTAGGCGTCTAAAACTGGGAGTAAACAAGGTAAAAACAAAAAGGCATCTGGTCGAGTGGTTAGAGATGCATACCATTTACAATTTGATGTTCCCAATCTGATTCTGGTAGACAATCAAATTGTTGCATGTCACCACTCTAAAACTACGTATTTTTTGTGTCTCTAAAGCCTGTCACACTATCAAAAAAAGCCCCAAATTCCACCAAAACATAAAAAAAAATGTAATAAAGTCAAGGCACACTGGTACAGAGAGGTATTTTTTATAGTATAAAGGAGAGTGGACACATCCTTAAAAAACTTTTATGGGTACATATTTGGTGGGACAGGTCTTTTTGGTAAATGTTTTATCCAGTGTACAAAATATACTAATATAGGGAAATGTTAACAGTGATCAGTCCGTTTTTTAAGTTTATCTCTCTGATCTGTCCATTTGGGTTCTGAGATACAGTTAAAAGAGAAAAGGGGACTTCAGTCCTTCCTTTTTTCTATGAAACCTGAAAACAAGCCTCGGGTTTCACCTACCTGAAGAATACAAAAATGAAATTCTCTCTGCACTCAAAAATCCTGGCTGTGTACTATTACTCTTTGCTTGTGGAACACATCCAACAATACATATCATGTAATGCATATTCTGTATCAATGCATACTATAAATAATGCGCTGCTGCTTGCTTGGAAAGAACATCAAAACGACGATGGTAAAGCCACCAGGGTGTTGTAATTGATAGTTCATCCTCTGACTAAGCTGTTCTGCAACATGACACATGACGTCTCTATGTAACAGGCCCTTTGACAAGCACATCCCCCCCCGCTGATATCCAGTCAGTGATTAACATAACCACTGAGGCCTGCAGGAATGTTACAGTTGGCTTCATCACCATCGGCCTTACCTTGTGGATGTGAAGACTCCAAACACCAACAGGCCCTTGGGCTGATCAGTTTCCAGCAAAAACATACTTTCTGAAACAGGAAACACATATGTGCACATGTGTAATACCTTCAAAAAATCCCCCGTGATATGGTTATATATCATGCTGCAGGTAAGATTGCCAAAAAATAATGAATGCATGAATTAATAACTGTACATGTTGACAGATGGACCGGTCCGATGAACTAAATATAAAAGCAGGTCTAAAATGCTGCAAGCTGTTTGTAGTTTTCAAAGCTGAAGCTAAAGGAAAGGACTGGACTAATATGCTCATAAATGAATTCAAGGTAACCAAAAACAACAGAAAAACTGTTATGAAAATTGATAAAGGTCTACAGCCTTAATCCAGACCAAACAAAGGAAGGTCCATGGATTTGTTTATGGAGAAAGCAATCGCTGGAAACTTTGGAACAAAAATAGTGAGCGTTCGGGAATTAGGGTGGTCTCTGGCAACATATTTCAAAAACATATTTGCTTTAAACTTGTTTCACGGAGCATAAAAATAAAAGTCACTGGAGTCACTTAACAAATAAAGAAAACATAAAATGTTAAAAACAACCATTTCCTTCATTTTACTTACCCAGTTCATCAAAGTGCGTTTCGGTGCCATCTTCCTCCAGAACCGAACACACCATCCTGGCCTTAAGGAAGGTGGTCCATTTGTTCACCAGGCTCCGCTGCCCTCCAATGTCGTTCTGCAGACAGGAGCCGCACATAAGCAAGTCGATACCACAAAACATACACTGCTGATTTGTTTAGGCACAGACAAAAGGCACTCACTGGGCACACTCTGGCCACCATAGTGTGGATATTTTTAGTATTTCCGCTGTTATCTGTTAGCCTCTCGCGGAAGAAAAAATACAATTTGGAATCATTGGGGTCTGTTCCATCTGGTATCAGGTGGGCATCAATGAAGATTGGCTCTGAATGACAGAAAGGAATAGTGAGTTTAACAGCAATAAAAAAAAAATGACATCCTATTTGTGTAAATTAATCAACATATATACACTCAAAATCTTTAGAGAATATTTTTTGTGCTCACCACTAAGCCACTTAGAGTTGTGCTGGTCTGTCCGCACTGCATTTCTCTTGGTCAGGCTCCTGAAGATGGCAGCATCTGTCCCCATGAAGTCAATGTACATGCCTGAGAACAGCTCCTGGTCTAGGGGGAAGTACACACACACAACAAATCAACAATGTGCTTACATATTTTGTAGAGCCTAAAACCAAAAAAAGACAGTACTTTTAGAAACGTGCATTTCAGTCTATGGCCGATAAACAACGTTAAGATAGTTGAATGGGTTTACAGTCTGTGTGTGTCCTGCTGCTAATAACAGGCTTCATGCTCTCCACAGCCGCATCATGCCTTTTATCATTCCTTTACTCTCACTTCATCATCCATCAGTTCCAGACCATGTGTTTTGGAGGATGTGGGGCAAGTTAGTGGAGGATTAGGGGTATGTGGCTCGCATCCAAGCTGGCTTGCTAAGGAGCGAGTGTCGACAGCACTCAGTCGGCCACAGAGAGTCCAAAACACGACGATGGGGATGAAGTGCAGATTTTATCGAGCCCAGACACTGCCTTTGGTTGTCCTCTGAGGCTTGGACTCTCTAACTCAGCTGCCACAGCTTTGCCTTTGACCTCAACTCTATTTGGCAGAGAATCTTCCTTCCTATCCCCTTTGGGTTATTCCACCCCTCCCCTCTGGCTGCCTCCTTGGCATCTCTGCAGGCGTTCACTAGCTGGCAAAGCTGCTGCTGACATGGCCGTGCTCAGGTGTCGGAAAGCAGAGCTGAGGGTGCAATGTGTCGCCTTAAGTCGTGTCAACAGCAACCCAACACCCTTTGACCAATCAGAGCTCAAAGAGAGAGAATGGGAGAGAGAGCGGGTGCGGCCTGACCTGCCTTAGCCTCTGGTGCTCTGTGTTTTATGTGTATTAAAGTAAAGCTGAAATTTGAATTGAAAATAAACAACTATTGTGTACAGAAAACTGTTTTTATATTTCTTAGTTATGGAATTATATGAGCTTCAGTTCTGTATGTGGGCGTATCTCATGGCATGGGTCGACTCACATTTCAAGTCTTGTGCTGCTTGCAGCTACAGACCGCCGCACATAATAGCCCTGTACAGAGTAATAGTAATAATATAGGAGTAACAACTGTCCCTGAAAAACAAACGTGGACATTTTACATCATCCAGTTGTTCAATGTAATAAAACCTAAATATAATACAGTATTATATCATTAACACACAGGATTTTTAACCCTTGCGGGATTATTTCTGAAGTCATACAACCCTCTTCAGTTGAGCGCTCACTAGTTGTTCCCATGACAATCTTTCCCTTCTCTATCATCCATCCCATATGGCGTGAACATGGCAACGGCGAACAATGGCTAAACCAGCTGGTGAACCGTCTGTGTATCCATTGGACTATTTTTAGTGCCCACACACACAGATACTGCACCGGTCAAACTACAGTATTGGCACTGTCACGAAAAATAAATAAAAGTTCAAATGAATCTGAATTTCTGGCAATTCCAGGGGTTTGGAAGAGGCAAAAATCACAAAGATGGAGGTAGGAGGAAGCACTTACTGAGCATGACGGAGACTGTATTCACTTGAGGGTTGAAGGAGCACCTCCCTTTTCCAGATTCGGTCCGGGAGTCAATGTGAAATACTTGTTCCTGTCACAGAGAAAAAAGTGGAAGTCAGAGAATTTGGAGACAGTTTTATATGTTAAATGATTCCGTCTAGTGGCCTCCACCACAATAAAACTGCATGTATGTACTGCGTGTCCCACAAGGTAGCCCTGCTCACGTTTCCCTCCCTTTTGGTTTTAAGGAAGCACAGAAACGGTCCTGGCTTGGTCTACCTTAACTGGCCCATGTGGGACAGTAAAAAGAACATTCCATTTGGAGGAATTTCCCTGCTAATGTGTTGGATAACTATCTCTCCATCTCAGGTGAAAAGGCTGCCAAGTTTCAACTCCCTCCTGGTGGCGGTCTGGCCGGTCAAAACGCCTCTTGCTAAAACCTGGGTAAACTATAGAGCTTCCTGTCCTATCCTTATTTAGAGGCTGACCCACAGTAGCGATGTAACTTTCTTGAATGTGATGAGAGTGATGTCAGCTGAAGAGCATTTTTCCAGGAAAATGTGTCCGTCCGCCAAGAAGTTGTGGAGATGGACTGAATCCATCTGGTAGGTTCTGTCATTAACCCCAATACTGCAAAATATATCAGTTTTAACAAAGAATTTGGATGTTGCAATGGATCATTAAAGCCTCCATCTGCTCAAAAATGTGCTTTGTTTACTTCACTTGCCTGTTTGACCTTCAGAATGCGTTACTTGTACAAATGTGTTTTTGTATTTGTGTATTCATAGTTTCCGAATCACATAAATTATTAAACAAATCATTACAATAGAAGCATTTTTATATGCCTTAAAAGAGGTCTGGAAGGGATCTTTAAAATAATATTTTTCTTTCAACAAGTGGAAACTGTTCGTATTGATAAACTTCTCTGACAATGACTGGAGTTATCACACCATATAAAGTTTTAAAAGACAAAATAAAAGAATAAATGGCTCAGTAATTTATTGCAGTGTATATTTAACAATGCATCCTTGAAGCCCTTTTGAAACATGCAAATTACCTGTCTGTTGCCGCCATCCTATCAAGTTTCTGAACTACAGTCTGGGGCACATTCTCACGGCAAAGGTCCACACTGAGCTTGCCGTCAACTCCACTCCACTACAGCAGCTTGTTATACTTAACAGATCCCTTTTCTTGAGACACTGACATGTTTGAGATCAGAAGTTGCAAACAGAGCAGTCTGCCTTTCAAACAACACCCCTACCCCCTCCCCAAATGACAAAAGGCACTGCAGTGCGGGAAGAGCCTAGTTGGGCGCTCTCTGCTTGTTAGCGTTTGGCAGCAGTTGGCAGTCTGTGGTTAAATGTTGTTCACTCAGTGAGCACTTTTCTCCTGGAGGGCTTCCCTGCTCTCACTTACAGAGCCGTGTGGCCGGAGATGAGAGCTCCATTACCCCCCTCTTATCCTCAGCATCTCTTCTCATGTGGCATCAAACTGAGTACATAATAACAAAAGTTATGGACTACATGGTGATGCTTGAAAATTCTTAGTAGACCAGTTAAAGAATATGCTATTGATAGAAACAATGGCTATCTGATGCAGCACATGAATTTGATTTCATTAAGAGAACGCTGGCACTGTCATCCACTATATGCCGTTTGAGTACTTGGATACTTGAGTCTGAATTACAGAAATATTGTATGTCCTCCAGTAGACAGTGGTGTAAAATAATAAAAATTATATTCTATTATTGCAGCTATCAATCAAAAACATGTTATATTTTCTTTTGAACCTCTAAATAATTGAATAAAATCTGATTTAACAAAAAAAGCTCATCCACATCCCTTGAAGCATTTTATCACTACCTAATCTCTTACAGGAAAATAATGATTTTTGTTTACTTGCTCTGGGTGGCAGTATTCCCACTACTTTGATTCTCCTGCGCTCAGAGATGACATTAACAGTCAGCACTAACGGTGCTTTTAGGGATTAATAAAGGGGAAGCGAGTTAGAAGAATACTGTCCCAAGTGAGCAATGAGAACATTAATTACATTAACTCTATTAAGTTAATGTAATTAGGTTTATTTCTGAAATAACCGCAGGGGAACCACAGCATCCATTGCTCATTATGTCCCATCATCAAACACATTATTTTATCTTTAATAATACTACATCCACACATTAAGTACTTACAGTTGAGGATTAGAGGGACAAGATGTTCTTATTTTTTTCACTTTTGAGATGTTAGTGGTGACATTCAGCAGCCTGCACTGCATCCCTTTAGTGAGTTTTAGTGAGTGAATAATCTACCTTGGTCTCCTCAACAGTTACAGTAATGGCTGTGTTGACCACCATGTCCCCAAAACGTGGTTTATACCATCACAAGTTTGTATATTTAGTGTAGCGAATCTGTCATCGCGTTCCCACCTCTGGTCTGCGGCCCCTATTGATGTACACACAGACGGGGCTGTACGCTCCGCTGCCGCACATGAACAGATGAGTTCTGTTGTAAGGCTGCACCACGCGGATGAAGTTCCCACAGCCGTGCTGGAAAAGACAGATAAACAAAAACAGACACGTAAGTTCAGTAGGTGAGAAACAACAATAAACATGTCAGTCTGATTCATTCCAGTTAAATGTCAAACCTATAGTTTATTGATGTAACCTTTTAAAGCAAGACTATGTAGCTTTGGAGAGAAGAAATAACATATTTTTCCTCTCACAAATGAGATTCTGAATTCATAACCAAATGATCAGTTCAATACATTCAGAGTTTTTTTTGTTGCTAGAGCCTTATTTGGTCTGGTATGTGCATATGTCTAGTAGGTTATGACAGCTAATATTATCTAACTGTAGATAAATATTGTTGTATAATGCAGTCAGTTTGTTAACTTTATGACTCCTCTTTGCTTGTATACTGTTAGCAGATTAGCATTACAGCTAAATGCATTATCTCATTTTAACTTGTAGCCACACTGTTCAGCAACAGTACCTAATGTCGCTTTCATGTTATCTAACCTTTTTTTTAATAAATTATAACAATATAACATAATAACAATATGAATTGCAGTTGGCAACACTCCTGTAATCCATTTCAACACTTTTCATGTGTTTTAATCTCTGCTATGACACAATGCACTGAAACAGACATAACAGAGGATAAGTTCTGTTTCCTGGTGTACAGCCAAGGTGAACGGAACTTGTTTATCTCTCCTGAAGTATCCTATTCCATATGAGGGAGTAATTCAAACTTATCTCACTTGCTATGACGGTTATACAATCACATGCTCTATGATCAAACAATCCCAGAGCTCACTCGTCTGGTATTAAGGCCGGTGGAAAAAGAGCGTCAGGGGGTATATGTGATATATCTAGGTAAGGCAGATTACTGCTCTCCCTCCATCTCTGCTTTCATTTCCCAAACCCGAACGGCAGCGGCATGAGCGCTGGACTTTGTGGCTAATTAAGCCTGAGCTTGCAGAAAACGTGTGGAGAAAGGAAGAGGGAGAGGAAAGAAGTGGGGAGGAGAGCAGCACGTATCCAGGGAGCCGTCAGGAACTTGGCTGCGGCTGCAGGAATGGCAGCTGCTGCAGCTCACGGACGGTGTACAGCTCCACCGAGAGCTATCGATGAAAAACAACAGAACTTTCACCATCACACGCCCATCTTTGTTATTTATCTGGCTTCTCTTTACCTCCCTCTGTCTCTTTTGCTTTCTCCTCATGTTTATCACCCATTCATCTCATCACACCCTCCTTCAGCCCTCACAAGCCCATACGCAGCCTTCGTGACTGTGCTAGATAAACAGCATCCAGCCTCATGGCCGCAAGTTCAAGTGGCGATCACGTTGAGTTTAAAGTGGGGGGCTTTTGAGCCAGCAGCAAACAGACTTAATCAACCTGGCTGGTCTATATTTCCCCTTTGATGCCACCCCCGGGCGCAAACAAAGTGTGGTTGCTCTCTGGAGCCCCGCTTCACTCCAGATTCTATCAGAGAACAGGAACTTAATATATACAGATGAGGAGGGTAACCATAACAGAGGGGGCTCTGATTGAAGCGAAGAGACTCATGAGAAAGAAGAGCAACATTATGGAAGAGAGAAAATGAAATATATTGCGGTAAAAAAAAGAAACCGAGAGCTGGAAAAAGTGACCCGAGACAAGTGGAAAAAATAGTAAGACAGAAAGAGAAACTGAAATTTTTAGAAGAGAAACTGGCAGAGTTGAAAGTAAAAAAAGGAATGACAGATACAAGAAGGGGCCATTGAGTGACTCCACACAGAGATGGCTCACCCAAATATTTGTGGGAGCCTGTCTGTGACTCACAGCAGCACAAATCACTCAGTGACTGGAAACAGCTTCTTCTCTATTTCTGCAACAGCGTGTTGTACAAAACCCTGGCCACATTACCCCAGCTGCTGTCAGGGGATGGAGAGATGGTGGAGAATGTAGGACAAACAGGCAGCCCTGGTCGTAGTGTGATGCTTTTTATGGTAACTCGTACTGTTATTTAAAAATCAGGGTTTCAATTTATGTAAAAAGTTGCTTGGGAGGTTTCTTTCACTGCAGTGTCTATAGGTAGCTGTGCGTGTACTTATGCGCAGAACAACCCAATTAGGGGAAAGAAAGAGGCAGAGGAGGAATCAGTCTTCTGAGTCCTACTGTATGTCTTCATTAAACCTTGTTGCAGCTAACAAGTGTTGCTCAGAATCAGGCTGGGTTATGAAATTTCTGCGTCCCATTTTGCGAGCTTTGATTCTGGTTTATTTTTCTACAGCGCTCCATGGCCCTCCATGGCCCTCCATCCTCCCACGCCTCGCTCTCGTCCTGACAAACTGTGCCTATGCCAGGAGGATTCCAGGCCAGGAGGTGACCCTGCGGACATCTGCTGCCTGCTACACATGTGGTTGGACCTGACACAAACTCACAGATGGGAGAGGGAAATCCCAGGAGGCGGCACGCACAGTTCCGCTGGAGACCCACTTGGAAGAACTTGTTCTGGGAACAGCTGACAAAACCTTCAGTCTACAGAACATCTCAATCATCATGGCAGAAAAGCATGAAGGCTAATCAGATACACTGGTTTTCTATCCTGTCCGTTACCATTAGCAACCTCAGTATTAGCTACTATTTATGGGGTCCAAAGCAGTATTGGTGTAAGGGACACTGTAAATACACAATCACTTGGGTGCTGCTCCATTAGATGAATGGCGACTATGATGAAGAAATGTCTAGGACTTGATTCTAGTTTCAACAGAATATGTGCAATGAACATGTGTAATGTTATAGTTTCATGCATGCACACACAAAACTAATCCAAAGTCACTTTAACACTGTGTATCTGACCGGACCAATGCAGATTGGGTGCAAAATGGTTCGCTCCATTACTGCCACTGCTAGGGATTGATGTGGAATAGTCCAAGTCGTGGCAGAAAGAGGGGAACAATTGGGACAATAGCGGTCTTTGCTAGGTAATGATTTCAATAGATGTGTGCTGGTTTTTGGCCACCATCTATTATGGATAAGATGAATAGTATTTAGTACAAGAACATAAGCCTTTGTGATCTGATTCCCATACATTTATATGAGATTATATACAAAATGTATGTTCATTTTTGCAGTCACTGTGTCTACAGATGGCAGATAATATTAATATTTAGTTCATATGCTGGGCTATTGCAACAGTATGGAGTGGAGAAGTGGAGAAAAGTCATGAAGTCAGCAAGCTGAATCAGCGTTGTCCCTTTATATGGCAATATTCACCTAAAATGTTTCTATTATACAGAAATATGCACCCTGAAGCTTGCTAACATTAGCCACCATAAGCTTCCAGACAAAGTCAGGCTGTAGAAGTCAAATACCTGAGTGACAATGCATTTTATTGCTATGAATTCAACTTTTTAATTTCACAAGAGAAAGAATGCGTCTCTCTTTTAAAAGCGGCATAGTCTTGCTGTAAAGATAACAATAAAGTGTAACAAAACAGACATAACATATAAAACAGCACAGACCTTTTACACATGAGATTAAAAAGGCTCAAATCTGCAGTAGAAGGTGTGTTTATCAAACATATTTAGCAAAAATGTGGTCTTAAAGGTGAAACATAAGTATTACATTTAATATCTCCTGTTTTTATTAATTATTAGCAGCTTCATGAGCTGACATTAACATCTGTTTTTCCATATTTATATTTCATTCATTTGTTAGGCTTGAACTTTAAAAGGCCATAAGCAATCCAAGATGAGGGTTTTGAAAAGTTCAGGGTTCTTACTGTAGGGTCCTTTCCTGCCATTTGGCATTCCTCTATCTTGCTTGGAGACGCAGGCCAAAACACCTGGTGGAAAAAAAACAGCACGGCATTTAAATAAGTGACAAGTGGGGGAAGCAAGCCCAGAAAACCAGTAACAGACTGAGAGAGACATAACATGCATATGCTCACACTGAGGTGTGATCATATCCTGCATACACAGACTGAAATCACAGGTAAAATGAGCAAAACAAATGTATGTACTGAAACTTTCAGTTCTGATATAAGTGTCAATGTCAGTGATTATAGTCAGCTACTGCCTGTGGAATTTTTTTTCAAACCTGGGAGAGGTGCTTAAAGGTCTAGCTCGATGAATATATCAAGCAATTTACCTAGAAAAAATGGATGCGGTGCAGCACTCCCTGGGGGAACCTAAATGCTTTCCCATCTGTTTATGCACTTCATGCCTGTCAATTACGCTGAAGATAACTCCTTCACTGCATACCGAATCCGTTATCAGAGAGCTCCAGCATTTTTATGCCTCTTTTGAATAACCCTAAAATTGTTCTGAACGCCGCAAATGTATGGTAATTTGCATATCATTGCACAGATTAGAATAATACCACTGCAGCAGTTTTATGATACGCCTTACATACTGCTAAATTTGACAGACATTTAATTTTCTCTTTTGTGGCGGTGAGAGAAAAGAGATGACAGCATTGCGTTAGAAAATGTTAATCACAGACCCTAATAATAAGCATCGGCTGACCTTAAGCGTGCCATGAGTGATGTTGTTGATGTCCATGGAGAGGACATGGTCTTTGCAGCCCACATACATCCTGTCCTGGTCCTCATCCATCTGCAGGATCCTGTAGTCCATGGCCTTGTCTGATATACTGTAGTGTTCAAAGGACTGGGAGGCCTGCAGGTCTGAGAAGACACAGAGAAAAAAGAGCAATGAAAGAAAACATATCAATAAGCTTGTTTCCACACCGAGATCAGAAAACGTTCTCTCCTACTCCTACTAAATTAAACTCAAGAGAGACAGCTACGCACAAGCCCACATTAATCTCTCTCTGGTCAGAAACAAGATATCTTCAAATTAGGTCTCGATGCATGAGCTCCGAGATTTAAGAGAGATCTCAAAAGAAAACTCAATAAGACTGTAACTTTTAGGATTTGGAATCTGCTCTTTAAACATGCGCTTCACATAGTAGCCTCACTGATGCAACTTTGCAGTGAATTCCTGGTTAGGTTTTATTTAGTAAATGTTCTTGTGTGACCACTTAGACATTTTTTTTTGTTAAAAAAAAAAAAAAAGTATCCCAAAAAATATTGGCACCAAAGCTGAGGTATCATACTGACGATAATTCACTATATAAATATAAAAAAACATAATGCACACAATCCCCTCCTATATGGTTAAACTGCATTGTTTAGGTACATTACCAAGTAGAACAGTACACTACAAGTCACAAAACATCATCATCCTTAACACAACTTCAGTGTATCAGGACGCAGTTAGTACTGTGGATTAAATCAATCAAATATGTTTTCAGATTCCATTTTGTATGTCATACATTCATTGCTCTTTATCACATACTAGTAATCCCAAAATTATATTAAATTAAAATGTTTCCATTTTCAGACATCTGAATTAATTATCTGAATTAACATTATTGGCAGAGACACTTAATGACCACAGAATAAATCGCCCATGAAATTCATCTCACTATGATTTGTTGCTAGAGATATTTCACATTTACTTTCTTTCAGTCAATTAAAGAGAAGCTGTGAGTACATGTTCGGGGACGATACAGTGTACACTGGATGAAAAAGTCTTCTTGCAGAGTCTCTTCGACTCATTAAAAGCGCACATTGTTCGCACACACACACACGAAGTAAACATTCTCAGACAGTTATTTTCAGCCTATTTGCTCCAGAGATTGAGAACTCTCAACCATACCATCAAAGACCTTCACTGTCGAAGCCAAACTCATGCATATTTATCACTTTTTCAATCTGCACTGAGAGCATGGGGGTGTGGGGGGGCAATGTAGATCTACACCCTCCATTTCCTCGCCTCCATTGACCTTCTCTGAGCTCTTTTTTGTATTCCCTCCTGTAATCAACAAACAGGTTGCCTGTGCTTTTGTCTCAATGCCTTGGGCTAAAGTCACATTTTCATTATTGTGTGACATACGCTTTTGAGTCTGGGGCCTTTTATCTTGAAGGAAAGCGGCTTTTCTGTGGCACCACTCGCTCTGATCACAGGCTGTTGTTTGGCACGTTCGGCACGTAAAGGCTGGAGTGTTTAACTTTAAATAAAGACAAGTTAACCACTTCAGTTGCAGGCGAGTTTCCCACGACTCTTCACTCTCTACATTCAGCGTGTTTAGGTAAATTGCCTTATATGGCTCTCGTCTTGAAGTGAGAGCAGGGTATTTTCGGGCATTGTATCATCCGAGGCGAGAGCATCATCTAGCCGCTAATGAGGAACATATAGAAAAACGACTCTGTTTTCACCACACTTGCCAGAAACAAAATTAAAAGTGAAACCTCCTGTCAGCAGATGTATGTTTAATAAAGGGAAACTTTCTTAAAGAGAGATCACATCAGCCTGCTGCTTCAAAGGTAGGAGATAGCATCGCAGAAAGCATCACAGAGAGCTCTGTGCAAAGGCAATATTTTCCTAACGCTGAAAAGGCTTAAGATGTTACAGGCTTTGCTCTGCCAGAGTGCGAGCCACCAAGGGTGAAAGACTCACTAACAGCTAATTAAAAACATGCAGGGCTCAAAATTTGACCAAAAAAAGAAAAGATGTATCTTCCCAAAATAGGTCCTTGGAGGTAATTCAGGAAACCCTTTTAAACCACAATACTCTACCTCATACTAAAGGTGGCAGCTCCCATTAAACATACAGATGTTTACAATGGATGGTCTGGGCAGAGGTTTTAGTTTTACAATCGTACATTATGGCCTATACAGGCGGAAATAATCTCAGTGGTTGAGTTAAACCTTGGTGGGTAGAAGCCCAAGAACCACAGCTTTTTAAGTTATGTAAGATTGAGGTGAAGTCCTGGGAAAAAGGGAAAGTTGAGGCTTTCTTTCTACTAACTAAAAAATGCAACTATATCAAGATTTCTAGCCAAAGTTTAGGTAAACCAAGCCTTAGTTGTTCTAGGATAAGCCTGTTTATGGGGCACAAGCTAGGAGCAGGCTAAATTACGTTTAAATTAAATAGTAAATTAACAATATCACTGACATTGTAGGTCACTATGACTTGACTGCTGTTTCCTGTTAGAATTTCCAACTAGATAATGCTAGAATAGCAATGGCCAACGTCAGCTTGTACTGTAGACATTTGCCATTATTTTGATAAAAGAATCAAAATTTTTATCAGCGGTTTGCTTAATGAGCCTAACTTAAAAATAAACTGGTTGCTTACAGGTACATTTGCTAGCACTAGCCAATGCTGCCATAGTTAAGAATGGGAAATTTAAATCACCAACAGAGTGCTCTGTCTTCAAAAGATTAAGCTTAGTTTTGTATACCGTATTTTTAATGGCCAAAAATGATTTTTGCCACTCAAGATTGTTTAATTCTCTAACTTTTAAGATCCCACTCACTCTTAACTGACTTCGACATAATGGTACACTCCTGTTTCTTTAACTCACCAGAACATTCCACAAGGAGAACCAAATTGTTCAGAGGGGTGCGGTACGGGTGAAATAACTGTTTAATATTATGATGAACTTTGTATTGTTTAATCAGTGGGGGGGAAATAAGAGACTTTTATTTTACGTCGTGAGGGTGTAAGGCCAGTTAAGCCCCGGTGCTGTGATGGGATGCATTGAGGGTGTGTCACATAGATCCACCTCATCCGCTGAGAGTCAAACCGAAACCCTCTGAAGCCCGCATACCTTTGGATCCAGTATCTCCTCAGTGCGCTGCTTTCAATCTCACACAAACATATGAGTCATGCCTGCACTGCGGCAGCATTGTAGACCTACATCAAAAGTTCACAATGCCAGATGGTGCACCTGCTCCATCAGGGCTCGCTTTGAACAATCGTCAAGGTTTTTCAGAGTCATTGAATATATGCACTGGGACCAAATGTTTACAGAATCAATGCCAGCTCATAACTTTCATATGACAACTTTGTAGACTGACGCTGCAACTACTAAACCCTCAGTGGCATCCACAAGCTCACAGTTTTCAAAATTAGACGTCGGGAATAACAATTTATCAAAACAGAAAACAATAGTTGGAACATAACTGTTTTTGGTTTTCGTGTCTGTGTTGAAGAAATCCTCTGGCCACATGTGGTTCATTAGTCGCAAGTTTATATGCATTCCTCATTGTTGAGATCACACAACTTCCCCTAGAGGGAAGGGTGTCAAAACTGTTTGTGGACATCATTACTCAGGCATTGTCGAGCAGCTTATTGCGGACAGTGTTGTGTTTTTTGGGATGCAGATTGAAGCACTTTGTGGATGCTGAAGGATAGAACAATAGATAACAGAAAAAAAGACCTGTCTGCGGTTTTAGGGGTGATATTTGGTGGAAAGATACAAAGCTGGGGCGAACACAAATAATAGTAGGACAGGGAAAAGCTGATGTAATGTGAGTGATGAAATGTCTTATTCTGTGTTGTTTTGTCTTTCTTGCTGCTGTCCTCGTTGCAGGTGGAGACAGAAACAAACAAGAGAAAGAGGAAGCACTGACAGTTGGTGGGTTTTCTATTATGTATGTGGGCAAGTGGCCCTTACACCTCCCTGTGGACCTCACAGCAGTCCCCAGTGTCCAGCCTTTGACTTCGGGCTTTGACCCATAGTCCCCTATTGGTTGGATGGCAGATCAATAGGGATACAATCCACCCTGATCCATGCAACGGACAGTGGGGTTAGCGGAAAAGGGCAAGGTGGCGACTGGAGAGCTGAGACTTTCTTTCCCTTTGATGTGTTTTTTTGTGTGAAGTGGTCAAGCGGAAGCAGCACAAAAGCCTTTTGTTGAACCAGCAGTCATTTAATATTAAACAGCAGGTTGCTTTCTCTGCTGCAGAAGAAACTGTGTTAGCCGAAAACATTCCTCACATGTTAAAGGATGGGCTGTGGTGCAAAGGAACAGGAAATATCTAGGAGATAAAAGTTATCCTGAAACATCCTTCAATAATTTGTTCATTATTTAAAAGGACTGGTACTGCAATTTAGTGTTGTACTGTCAGTAGAAGAAATCAAAATCAAAATATCCTGACTTTTAGTCCCTAGTTTGGGTCAAGCTAAACTCTATGGATTCTAACTCCATGCCATGTTTCTACTGTAGCCCAGAACGGACAAACCAAACACTCTTAATAGTGCCTTTCACATATTTTGAGTTTCATGGCCTTCACACTGTTCCTTCAAGTGATTAATCAATAATAAAAGCAATCACTATGCAGCTCTGGACTAAAGTCAGATATGCAGAGGTTGTCTAGTGTTGTGACAGGTGGTCTGATGACTGCACATTCATCTTTAAACATGTAAAAGATGAATGCGCAGTCATCATGTATGTCATGTCAATTGATCCCCGGCCAGACATCCTTTTTGGAGAATTAAATTAATTATACAACCCTTTGATTCAAGATAGCAGGCCGTACCTTTTGTTTGTGCTGTCACTACAGCTCTGAAGAACAGATATCTGAAGAAACTACAAGCTGTGATCACTGTGGCGGGCTAATTCAGCCTTCTGTAAACCGTGAGAGAATTGATTGTTCATGGGCACAGGCTCCAGAGAGAGGCAGCAAGTCTCAAAGACTAAAAAAAAAAGGAAAAAGAACATCCTCTTTTATGTGATTGCGGTGAAAAGCCAAGTAGAAATAGAAAAAAATGTGAGCTACAGGAAGGGACCTGTCATTGTGCCCCTATTTGTATGGCAGCAATTAAAGTGCA